CGGGCAGGTCCGCAGGTGCAGCGCGCCGCAGCCGCGGGCATGAGCTCGTGCCCGGGACCCGGGACCCGGAGCCCAGGAGCTGCAGGCGGCAGCCTCCTGCTCGGGTAGGTGCGCGGCGCGAGCCCTCAGCCTCCGCAGCCAGGCAGCAGGCGGGCGGGCAGACTCATCTTTCCTCTACTCGGGCCCTAATTACATTGATCCCTCTGCTACCCTGCCTCCCTGCCTGCCGGCCTGCCTGCCTGGCTGGCTGCCTGGGAGCGGAGCCGGGGCGGGCGAGGACCCCTCCCCTGCCTCTGGCCGCTGGGGCGCTCTGCAGTCTTAAAGCAGCAGCAGAGAAGTGAAGCCGAACTGGAGGCAGGACCAGGGAGCGTGCGGCCACCACAGTCACGTACAGTCATCAGGATGAATGTCTTAGAGGCTTAAATAATCATCTCAACAGCTGATTATTTTTAGTTATTTCCTTGCCGGTTGCTAATAAGATCTGGCCAGGGGTGACTCTTCCGAAGGTTGCCAGATAAGCAGAGGGTGCTGTGAAATGTTAGCAGTTTTAAGAAAATGGGCAGCTGGACTCAGATTTCATATTTACTCTCACAAAAGTCCAGTTCATTTGCCTAAAGGGAAATGCCACCTCCAAATCCTTACTGCTACAATAAAGATTTCTATGATTTCATGGGCTAATTTTTAATTATCTTGAATGCATTGTAGAAAACAAACACAAGCAATTCTAATTTTGCTCAGTGAATGGTAGAAAAAAAAAGCTGATTAAAATTGCTGATAATTTGAATAATTTCAAATACATAACCCCTTCCCCATTACTGTGAAAAGCCAGTCTAACAATATTTTCTGAGTGTTCTGTACGGTTCTTGAAGTCATAATCATACTCAAATAGAAGCTTTAAAGGGCATATTTCCATATTCCACCACTTTACAAGATAATGACCGATAGGGTCGGAATCCACCCAAATTCAGAACTCAAGCTAGAATGCTCAGAGGTAGGGCAGTACAGGACCCAAAACGAGCACTTTAGGAGACAGTTTCCTGGGAAATTGAGTGTTCTTCCTAGGGTGGGGTATCTTCTGCCTAGGCTCCAGGTGACGCTCCAAATCCAAAGGGGGAACCAAGTATGTCGAAAACAGCTCAGAAAATAACACAAGGAAAGCAAATGGTGAGGCAGAAACAAAATGGTGTTTTACCAGGGTTGGGCACAAGATGGCCAGGCCCTGTGTACAAGGAAGGGTCAGCTGAGCCGGTGATGCTGAGCCGCGCTGCATCTGCAGGTGATCACGTGGGGCCACCCACTCAGGATGCACCAGCTAAGCCCCTGCTGAACTCCGTGCAGGAGTGTCCCCGGGCTTTCCACACACAGGGGCTGGCTCCCAGGTCTTTCTTACAAGCAGTGATGGGCATTTATATTCTTGGACCTAGCTCATTCACCCATTCATTCAATTACCAAATTCTTAGCTGAACACTAGCCATTTGCAAGACTCAGCTCAGCCTTAAGAGTTAGGACCCATCTGGGGTCAAATCACAGCTTTACCACTTAGATGATGTGGGGCTTGTGCATGTGATGTAAGCATTATTTTTCTCATACGCACCTCGCATGTGTGGTTGTGACATATTCCCAACACATGGTGACTGTAATAAAGATGGCAATGGTGATGGTTCAGCTGGGGAGCAGGGCCAGGTGCATAATGTGTGGGGTCCAGTGCAAAATGAAAATGCAGGGCCCGTTGTTCAAAAAGGAGCCCTGGTGGCGCAGTGGTTAAGAAATTGGCTGCTAACCAAAAGGCTGGCAGTTCAAATCCACCAGCTGCTGCTTGGAAACCCTGTGGGGCAGTTCTACTCTGTCCTGTAGGGTCATTATGAGTTGGAATTGACTCGACAGCCACGGGTTTGGTTTTTTTTGTTGTTGTTGTTGTTGTTCAAAAGAAAAAAAAAAAAGTGTTGTTAAAGGTGTTAAAATATAAAACATTCTCCTTTCTCCCAAGTTTCCCTCTTGACTTGTCATTGCTTATTTGCTATTTAACATCCCTCTTCCTTGGGCAGAGGATATTCACGGGATGAGTGCTGACCCTCACTTAGTGCTGAATGAGCAGCCCACTGTCTGCTGGGTTCCTCTCCTGCCATCCACTGTACCAATGCTCTGTGACCAGACCAGGGGTGGGGAAGTTAATCTCCATTTTCCACCATCGCCCCAATGCACGGGAGACAGAGACTCTGAAGGAACTGCAATCTCCCTGCTGGGAAACAGTTCCTGGATCGGGGTGGAGAGGGGCTTGCCACCGCCAAGACCCTTGCCAAACAAGCCACGGGACTGTCAGCCTGGGGTAAAGACAGCTGCTATCAGGCCCCGCCCTGAGACCCCACGGGATACACACACCTAAGCTCAAAACTCTCAGTGCCCAGCTCCTACCAGGGATGGAGGGTGACATCAGAACGCAGGCCTCCTCAACAGCATGACCCAGATGCCACCTGGGTGAAGGGGAACAGCATTTGCAGGGTGAGGAGGAGGAGGCTGGGTAAGGCCCGGGGTTTCAGTGGGTGGGAAGGGGGCAGCAGAGAGTCCCTCCTATAGAGGTTGCAGGAGGCAAGACCATGCATGAGCCTGCAAGCCCCTGGCACCTGTTCCACTGTCCCATCAGACTTACAAAACATGCACTCAAGGATAATGAACAAAATCCCCAGCTTCCATAGAGATTGAGGGAACAAATAAATAAGGACATGTATTTATAAATAAGTATGGAAAATATAAAGCTCAGAGGATAAATACTGACAGGGTAGAAAATGCACCCTGGTGCACCACAAGCCAGGGCCATGTAGGTCTCAGGAGGGAGTGCTATGTAGAAAGCAGTGAGGTCTGGTCTTTCCAACAGCCAGGCTCTGGTGAAGGCACTGCAGGCAGAGAAGCCTGAGGATGCAGACCTAAGAAAGGGCACTGTGGCACACCACAGATCTAGGACCGCATGGGTTCTGGGAGGGAGTGGTGTGCGGAGTGTAGAGAGGCCCAGACTTTGCATATAGCCAGGCTCTGGTGAGGTAATCACAAGGCAAGAAGCCTCAGCACACAGACCTAAGAAAGGGAGACTTGGTACATGGCAAGCCTGGGGCTGCGTGGGTCTTGGGAGGGAGTGCAGTGCAGATACCAGTGAGGACTAAATTTTGTGAACAGCCAGGCCCCGGTGAAGGCACTGCAGGCAGGGAAGCCTCAACACACAGACCTAGGAAAGGACACCTTGATATCTCGCTCTCCAAGATGGCAACATGATCAGAAACATGGCTCCATTCCCCCACAATAATTATAGGAAAAGAAAAAAAAACAGCAAAATAGCCCTAACAAGGAGATAAAAATGCACATGTAGAATCCTGGAAACCAACCCAAAAGTTAAAGCAAAACACTATGTACTGGAGGATGAATGAAGTACTTGACAAGAAAAGTCCACATAAAAACCAATTACGGGAAAGGAGAAGAATCGAAATCCAAAATTACCTCAACAAAGTATTCAAATGCCTTAGGCTCAACAAAAAATTGTAAGGATACAAGAAAGTATGAAAAGATGGCCCAATTAAGAGAGCAGCATGAAGAAGCAGTAATCACTACCACGGAAGTAAGGATAGTTGAAAAATTAGATGACTTATAAATAACAAATTTAAATATGCTCAAAAGAATTCAAAGCACACACAAAGCAAATTAATGGAGATCACAAAACAATGAGAATCTTAACAAGGAGATACAAAACATAAAAAATGAACAAATACTACAACTGAGGAACAAAATAATTGAACTGGAAAACACAAGGAAAGGATACAACAATAGACTTGAGCAGGCAGAAGAAAGATTAAGTGAACTAGAAGACAAAACAACTGAATTTACTGAATCCCAAGGGAAATGGGGGGGGGGGGAACTGAACAAAGCCAAATGGAACTATGGGATACCTTAGGAGACTCAATGTATGCATTATGGGAATTCCCAGAAGTTTAGGAAAGAAACAAAAGAACAGAAAGAATAGTTGAGGAAATTGTGACAGAAAACTTCCCAGACCTGATTAAGGAAATAAATCTGCAAATCCAGGATGCTTGTCCAATCCAAAGTAGAGTGAATCCAAAGAGGTCTTCACCAAGACACATTGTAATCAAACTCCTAAAGACCAAAGACAAGGAAACAATCCTGAAAGCAGCAAGAGAAAAACATAAAATGACACATTAAGGGATCCTTAATAAGATTAAGTACTTACTTCTCCACAGAAACAATGGAGGCTGAAAAAAGGCACTGAAAAAAAAAAAAAAAAGAACTGTCAACCAAGAATTCTATGTCCAGCAAAACTATCCTTCAAAAAATAAGAGCAAATTGAAGATATTCCAGGTAAGCAAAAGTTGGAAGAATTCATTACCAACAGACCTGTCATGCAAAAACTGCTAAAGAGAGTACTTCAAGTGGAAAAGAAAGAAAACTATCCAACCCAGTATACAGGGAAGAAAACTGAAAACTAAAAAAGAGATCTCCAACAACGATTATGGCACAGACAAATGAAAAGGCTCATTGCAGGGTATTTTCAGTGGGTAAATTTAGTTGTTATGTGTTACAAGCTTCACATTGCAAACTGTGTAAGAAATAAATACAAAGTTGTCCTAGCAGATACAGAATGTATAATGATGTGAAAAGTGATACAAAAACAGAAACAAGGGGAGGGAGGAGAGAATTAAGACTAGAATTTAAGTACATTAATATTGTATGTTCAACCATCTAAGGAGGTAGCATATGATCAGGAACCAATAGTACTGAAGGAAGAATCCAAGTTGCACTGAAGGCACTGGTGAAAAACAAGGCTCCAGGAAGTGAAAGAATACCAACTGAGATATTTCAACAAACATACGCAGTGCTGGAAGTGCTTGCTCATACATGCCAAGAAATTTGGAAGACAACTACCTGGCCAACCGACTGGAAGAGATTCATATTTATGCTTATTCCAAAGAAAGGTGACCCAACCAAATGCAGAAATTATCAAACAATATCATTAATATCACTGAAAGTAAAATTTTGTTGAAGTTCATTCAAAAGTGGCTGCAGCAGTTCATCTATAGGGAACTACCAGAAATTCAAGCCGGATTCAAAAGAGGATGTGGAACCCGGGATATCATTGCTGATGTCAGACGGATCCTGGCTGAAAGTAGAGAATACAAGAAAGATGTTTACCTGTGTTTTATTGACTATGCAAAGGCATTTGACTGTGTGGATCATAACAAATTATGGATAACATTGCAAAGAATAGGAATCCCAGAACACTTAATTGTGCTCATGAGGAACCTGCACATAGACCAAGAGGCAGTCATTCGAACAGAACAAGGGAATACTGTGCAGTTTAAAGTCAAGAAAGTTGTGCGTCAGGGTTGTATTCTTTCAC